TTATCCAAAGTCTCTGTCCCTCACCAAGCTGGGCTTAAACGGCCAACATGACGCACAGAAATAAAGCGAAGAACCTGGACGAAGAACCTGGCTGTCACTTTAAGCCCTTATGTCCTTGTTTGAGTGAGTGGATAGTTAAAGGGACAATACACTCCCAAATCTATATTTGTCAGATGTTTTCAGATCTCAAAAGTGGTCTTCTATGTTTCCAGCCCATCGGTTGTGTAGACACAGCTGCATACCTCAACCTCAAATGAATTCAGTAGATAAGCACTACAAACAAAGTGGAGAACCTAACAGTCACCTAAAGCCTTATGTCCTCGTTTGACATGGTGGAGAGTTAAATTGCTGCTGATCTCCCAGCTGATGTCTCTCTGGTGTGTGTGTGTGTGTGTGTGTGTGTGTGTGTGTGTGTGTGTGTGTGCGTGCATGCTTGCATGTGTGCGTTGCAGTAGTTGTTGAGGGAATAACACACCCGCGTGCTATCAGTGAGACACACCACAACCACACCAGAGGTGTGTCCACCTCAGCAGCTCGGCGGACCAGATTTTCACACGCTGTGTGGTCCTAGGCCTCAGGAGGAGTGGAGGAGCTAGATAGAACCTCACCCTTCGTCAACAGAACAAGAAGAGTAGGCTATGTTTCATGGAATCTCGACGGAAAGCTCTCTGTGTTCTTTCCCAGTGTATGACTCACGTTCCGACTCTCCTAAAGCCCTGGAGCTGTAGCAGAGAAAGGCTCCTCCGCTCCTACACTAGCTCAAGGCCTGAGGGAAGTCACCAGCCAATGGCAGAGCTGGTTAGTGCTTCCACAAAGCAAAGACCGGGGTTTCTTGACAGAAGAAGCAATGAGTCAGCTGAAATGAGAGAGTACAGTACACCACCTCCTCAAGCAAGTCTGATGATGATGCAACAAAGTGAAATAGAAGCTTCAGAGAGTACTGATCTGAGTTCAGATGGAACTAGAGAACTAGATATCTTTAAATCTACTGAAAAAATTTGAAGTGTCTTTGAGGAAATGGAAGAGACCAGAGGAGGGGAGGGGAGAGGGGAGGGGGAGAGGAGGGGGTTAATACACATCCTCTATCTTCATTGAAAAGATTTGGGATGGGTTTCTGACTGCCAACCCTCCCTCCCCCTTCATCATCCTCTTGGACCGAGCGTCTCCCCTCTCCCGCATCACTGCACACCCTGGCCCTCGCACATGGCCCGCTCTCCGTCCAGCTTAGAGCGATTAGCCAGGCCTTCCTCTACTGACAGGTGCATGGTCACGCTCAGACATGACTGGCAGACCCCCATCTAACCCTGCAGAAGCAGGAGAGGACAGACACCCGCTCCCTTTGCTCTGTCAGCCCATCTCCCACCACAAGACAGACAGACAGACGGACGGAAGGGAGGGCTTGCGAGGGGCAGACAGGCAGGCACACAGGGACGCAGGCAGACAGACAGGCAGGCACACAGGGACGCAGGCAGACAGACAGGCAGGCAAGTAGGCATGGAGGAAGGTACACAGGCAAGCAGGTAGAAAGGCAGAAAGACAGACAGACAGAGACAGACTGCATTATAACCCTCATTCACTGAGCACATGGCTAGGTGTGACAGAGCACAGATAAAACTGTCCGCTTAACTCCAAATTATGTTTTTCCATATCGGTATTGATATTGAAATCCAAGACGTCTTTCATGGTTTATAGTCTATGGGCTAAGCGCAAGCAAGTGGCATTTTCTCGAGAATAATTGCATATGGCCAACATAAATGACCAACTTGAAAGTTAATACATTCGAATAAAGCAAATATTAAACAGAGCACATAAAGTATCTGTGTTCTGTGAGTACTAACAGTCCCACTAAATCTTTTTATTTATTTTTTAATGCGTTGTAATTACTTTGAGTCTCAGGGAATCAACTTTGGTTTTTACAGTTGTAAGCACTTAAGGAAAATTATATTCTTGGCACCTGAATTTAAATACAGCACAGCGCTGCTTTTTCCCAGGTCCACACCATACAGCCTAATGGGAAAAACACCAGCCAGGACTGTGGCAACCTCAGTATTTGGCAAGCAACCCGATGCAGCCAACCAATGCACCGGCCCTAGAAACCATAAAAAATCCAGACGAGAAGTCTGACTTGGCTTTTATATTAGCATTTTAGATGTATATCATGTTATTTATTTTGGGGGAGGTGGGTGTAAAAGAGACGTATAATGTTTAAGGCCTTAAACCAAACAGAACAAATATTTTAGTGATTGCCACCAGCCCGAGGTGACTCTGTTGGGGGCGCCAATTGATGACTTCAGAGAGAGAATAGAAAGCAGTGATACCGTCGAATGCTGGTGTGTGGTGGGCACTGGGCATTGGGCACTGGGCACTGGGCAGGATAGAATAGCTTGGCAAGGCTTCCACAATGCAGTGGCTGCTCTACAATAAGACCTGTATTTTTAGAAGACCTTACCCACTAGTTTCATATGTTGACAGACAAGATTTTGATTATTGGTCAGTTGCTTGAGTATGGTGTCCATATTAGGACAGTCACACATCCATGGAAGTTGGAGTTGGTGTCAGAGTCATTTGGTACTAGGGCTCTTGCAGTGACTGTATTATCGCCACACCCCAAAGGGGGCCCACGTGGGTAACTGGGGAGCCCCGCCTTGATTCGGTAACTGACTAATAAAAAGAAAAAGAAAAAGAAATGTGACTGGTCAATTGTGCTGGGCCCAAGAGGCAAACAAAAACAAAAAAAGACTTTTTTATTATTATAATAATTTGTTTATCCAACCACAGGAGCCCGCTCTCAATGTTCAAAATACATCAGAGAGCATAATTTAGCCACAGAGGATCAATAGTTTCAAAAAAATAACAGTGGATAAAATATTATTACAAGAACATTCAGGTAACTGCCAAAATATAGGAAACACTATCATTAAGTGTCTTAAAAGGGTGTTGGGCCACCACGAGCTGCCAGAACAGCTTCAATGCGCCTTGGAATAGATTTTACAAGTGGACCTAAACCATGCCAGGAAAATGCTCCCCACACACCATAACATAAACTTTGTATCCCTCACTTACTCAAGTGTTTCCATTATTTTGTCAGTTACTGGTTGCCTACAGTCGGGAAGGCCGCATTTTGGGCAACGCCAAATATACAGCTTGTTTCGTTGTGGCCATATACATAATCCATAGAAGCGTTTTGGAACCTATTACCCTGGCAATTTGAGTGTTAAACTCTTAGGTACACTAGCAATGGCTGCCAGTACTGACTTGAATGGGAACTGCCATCTATGGATTATATTTCTATACTTGGTTGCGGCTGTCTGTTTGCCTTTTGCAAATTTCAATCGCGGGAAAAACAGACAGTTTGGAAAGCAAATGCCTACCGCTGAAAAGAGAAGACTAATCTGTCTGTAGAACCAATATAAAAAAAGAATCTCAACAACTCCCAAAACAGCAGCACTGTTTTTCAAAGTAGCTCCTCTTGAGAAAGGCTATTGTTTGATTAATTTAAAACACCAGGCATATTAGAAACTTATGCATATATATAGGCCTATACTGTATATTGGTCTAAGCAAAAAAAGAAGAATTCTTTGGTACATAATTGGTCTAGCCTAAATTAAACAGATTCAGAGTTAGCCTTCAATTATAGTGAATTTGTATTTGATTTTGAATAGCCAAATAATAGAGATAAAAATAAATATATATTTTCATATTTAATACGCTGACACATTAGCTACAGAATATCTCACCACCGTGCATTTCCATCTCCTCCCCACTTCTTGGTTTTAAAGGTTTTGCCTTTAATGTATTTTTCGTTATATATGTCGGACCACAGTAAGACTAGCTGTCGCCATGGGGATCCTAATAAATCAAACCAAAATCAAATCAACAGTTTAATGAAATATGTTTTGTTGTGAAAACATGTTAATATCATGTTCCCGAACAGATTTCACTTGGTTTCCCAAATTAAGCACTGGGTAGCTGCAAGAACAGGGTTGGAGAGCCCATGGCACACAGAGTTTGGGCAGAATATCACATATCATGCAACGAAATAACCGGAGCAGAATACCCAACATAAATGAAAAACGTACAGGTGGGAAAGTGGCCTCCATTCACTATTTTATTCAGCTAAGTTCAATTATATATTTTTTACTATAAAATCATATAATATAAAATAATGACACAGGACTTATGAGCATATCTTGTCAGCTAAATGAACAAGCCTACAGCCTATGGCATGGAGCATAGCCAGATAACATACAGTAGGCCAACTCATATTCTGTTCTTCTGAAATACATTTTCATCAACATGTTTCTTTAGACCTACCTAAAATAAATAATGGTTTATTGTGATGCTGTATATTCAATTGATTTATTACACTTTTTTAAATGTAGATGTTCCAATGGCTGCTGCGGCAGCGGCTTGTATGTGGCCTGTATGCGTGGAAGCCTGGAGATGCTAAACGTGTTTATGTTAATTAACGGTATTTTTTCCATGAGACCGGCAGTTTTTTGCATGACAATAACCGGCTGACAAACCCACCACAGCCCTATTTGGTATTGGAGGTTTACTATTTAACTTAACACCTCAAGAACTAGGTTTACATAACATAATGGTATACTCAGCCAAGCATGGTACCTCATACAGTTACTGTGTACACAGAGAACACACTGTCTTAGTTAAAACATAGCCAAAGCTAAATATCCTAGCAAAGTCAAATATATTATTATTATATTATCCCACTTCTGCGCCACACAAAACTCCCACATTTGCTAAGCTACGTTACATTAGTACAACCCAAAGTCATACCCTAATTATCGAAACCAACACCCATGACTAACTGCTGAGTTTTGAACCTGAAATGAGACTCGATATTCAAATATTCCCTTTTGCATGTTATTTTGCATTCAACATATCCTGGTTTGCTGTGACTGCTATCTAGCTAGAGAACGCTAGCTACACGGTCCGCAGGTGAGAAAAGAGAGAGTTGGGTTTAAGCTTTGAATAACCAAATGACACCTGATCACCTGAGCTCATCTCGCAGCATGGCCGGACATTTGTCAATGCAAAGTGGGGTTGCTAGGGCGATCCTTATCGCTACACGTGGTATGCCGCTAGAGAATAGGGAAATGAACTGGGCTCAGCTGGCATGACAGTTATTTCACCTTGGAGTGGGTCTCTGCTTCCTTTTACTCTTGATTCTAGAAATACAGGGTATTTATGTTTGATAAGTGGCACACACACACTAAGCATATAGATACACCAACATCAATCCAACCAGGAAGGAGAAACACTTAGATGCAGTACTGTGCAAACTTAAACAGGTCACAGGCATGAAGACACATACATACAAAGCAGATGATGCTAGTGCTGTTGATGTAAAACACGTGCACATATGCACATACAAGCACGCGTGCACACACACACACACACACACACACACACACACACACACACACACACCAAAAAGGAACGCCATCGTGTTGGTTCCGTTGCTAAAACACAAAAACCTCCTCCTCTCCTCCCCCCTTCCCCAGCTGTGGCCCAACGGATGAAACCCAAACCAGAGCAGAGAGCTCTCTCAACTCCTCAACCTCTCAACACATCCTCAGCACTGGCCTTTGAAAACAAACCACGCCGGCCAGCCCCCCGCCTCTCCCCGTCTCCTCTGAGCCCTAATATGTGAGCACACATGCCCCACACTCCCCTGGGAGAGACTCCCCGACGCTCCGCTCTGCTCTGGTTCCGGGAAGCAGATGTGAGAATATAAAGATGGTGGAGTGTGAGGCTTCACTGAGCTACACACAGACAGTCAGTGGTTGATGTTAGGAGACATACAGGAGCAGATAGGGTGTGGGGGTTTCCCTGGTTCAGTCATGAGGTCATGAACAACTCCTGGACCATGACTCCAAGGTTCAAGGACGCTTAAAGGTCCAATGCAGCCGCTTTTTATCTCAATATCAAATAATTTCTGGGTAACAATTTATTAACTTACTGTGATTATTTTCAATGAAAATGGTCAAATAAGGAACAAAAATAGCTTCTTAGCAAAGAGCAATTTTTCAAGCAAGAATTTTGCTAGGACTGTCTGGGAGTAGTCTAATTGGACGAGCCAAATGGGAGGGATATATAACCTGAAAACGAGCTGTTATTGGCAGAGAGGTTTGAAACTCTCTTTGTTATTGGTCTATTAACTTATACCACCTGGTGATTTCACCAGGCAGGCCAAAACTCCATCCCACCAAAACAGGCTGAAATTTCAGGCGGTCTTTTCAAACAGCTAATACAAGAAAAGGGCATTGTCATAATTTTCATAAATTCACAGTATTATTCCAACCTCATAGTGCAGAAATATACACTGAGTATACAAAACATTAGGAACACCTTCATAATATTGAGTGGCACCCCACCCCCCTTTGGATACGTGTCTACTAAATGGCATTATATACACTACCAGCCAAAAGTTTGGACACACCTACTCAATCAAGGGTTTTTATTAATTTTTACTATTTTTTACATTGTAGAATAATAGTGAAGACATCAACATGATGAAATAACACAGATGGAATCATATAGTAAACAAAAAAGTGTTAAACAAATCAAAGTATATTTTATATTTGTCACGTTGTATAATGATTGGAAGACAGGCGCGACGGGGACGAAGCCCAAAACAAACACGTATATATATATAACAAAGGGATGTAACCCAAACCAAAGAGCGAGGTGTAAACCTCTACACAATACACGGGACGAGACCCGTAATAAACAAGAGCACAATACACGGTACTCACGAGACCAACGGACATGGGACAATAATCGACCAGGACAATGGGGAACAGAGGGCACATATATATACACATACTAATCAGGGGGAATAGGAACCAGGTGTGCGTAATGAGACAAGACAGTCTGGGGTTGGTGGTAATGAACCATGTCAGTGACACCTAGAAGGCCGGTGACGTAGACCTAGAAGGACACGAACCGCTGGATAAACAAATGTCTTCTTCTTTAACATAGAGATTATGCTCCAACAGTCTTCCCAGCACAGACATGCTTAGCTCGGTCAGCAGAATAGACCAAAATGTTGTCTACATAAACCATTACACCCCGTCCCAGCATGTCCTGAAACACTTCGTTAATAAAGGCCTGGAAGACTGAAGGAGCATTAGAGAGGCCAAAGGGCATTACGAGATACTCCCGTCGTGGAAAATGCCATTTTCCATTCGTCGCCTGCACGAATGCGCACCAGATTGTAGGCGCTCCTCAAGTCCAGTTTCGTGAAATACTGCGCCCCGTGCATTTGTTCGATGATGGTTGGGAAGAGGGGTAAAGGATTGCTGAACTTAACGGTGGCTTTGTTCAGTGTTCTATAATCAATGCAGGGGCGCAGTCCCCCATCTTTCTTCATAACAAAAAAGAAGCTAGGCTTTTGACGTAGAGGGGCGGATAAAACTCTGATGAAGGCTCTCCTGTACGTAGGACTCCATGACCTCGGTCTCCGGGAGAACTGCATCGGTCTTCTCTCAGGAGAACTGCATCAGACAGCAGGTCAACGGCACAGTCCCAGGGGTGATGAGGAGGCAGGTGTGTAGCTTGGGTCTTAGAGAAAACCCGAGTCTAGGGCCCTTCCGGTCAGTGCCGGGATGACTGTGGCAACCCTGTCTCTCCCGGAGACAGCCTCGGTGTAGCGAGCGAGGTACAGGTCGCATTGCAGAAGGAATCCCTTGCATCTCGCTGGCGCACCGTCAAAGCACTCCAGGAGGGACAGGGGTATTCCGCGGACCGGCTCAGATGGGACGCAGGTAGTGTTGGTGTGGGGGCTGGTGCCGGAACCGGTGCTGGAGACTGGAGGGACTGCTCTTTCCCCTCCAACTGCAGGGTGGTTTCCAGCACGTTGTCCATGGCGCTGTCGAGTCTGGAGAGACAGTCCTTGTGATGCTGGACTGTCTCTACGATGGTCGCCAGCTCTGCCTTTCCCGCTGTCTCCATTTTGATGGGTTGATTATTCTGTCACGTTGTATAATGATTAGAAGACAGGTGCAGGAATATGTATTAGGGGTTTTATTTACTCCACCCAACACAAGGTACGTCATGAAAAACGACGGGGACGAAGCCCAAAAACAAACATGTATATACTGTTGAAGTCGGAAGTTTACATACACTTAGGTTGGAGTCATTAAAACTCATTTTTCAACCACTCCACAAATGTATTGTTAACAAACTATAGTTTTGGCAAGTCGGTTAGGACATCTATTTTGTGCTAAGGGTGGCTATTTGAAGAATCTCAAATATAAAATATATTTTTATTTGTTTAACACTTTTTTGGTTATTACATGATTCCATATGTGTTATTTCATAGTTTTGATGTCTTCACTATTATTATACAATGTAGAAAATAGTAAACATAAAGAAAAACCCTGGAATGAGTAGCTGTGTCCAAACTTTTGACTGGTACAGTACATAGAAGAAGAGTCTGGCCACTGCAGACTCTGTATGTGCATATCATCCTTTACAGCAAACAATCTACCTGGTCACACTGTGCATGGAAGTCATAGAGTTCCTACAGATCTCTCATCCGGATTGGCTACATCTGAAAGTCTAGCATAGCCTCTAAATATTACAATATGCAATGAATTCATGAAATTCACACCACTGAATCATATTGAAGAATAGAGAGAGGGATTACCAAATAATGTGGGATATCAAAGAGTTGTGGACCACAGACACACACACACACACACACACACACACACACACACACACACACACACACACACACACACACACTGAAACAGTTGGTGAATTGATTAAGTCCTCCAGTCTCTTTGGCTTCCCACACTAACAAGCACGTGGAGAGATTGAAATCCAGATGGCTGGAGAGTAGAATGGCACTTTTCGAGATCCACCTCTCTTTGTCGTTCAATATACCCACAAACCTGCGTATAAACACGATATCACACAGATACACTGGCACGCACACGCACAGGCACACACACAAAGATCAAATAGGGCTACGACAAAACTAGAATGACCACAACTCTCATTGAATCCCCCCCCACCCCTAAAAAAAAAGGGACCCAAGTCCCAACATGACCCAGCATTCTGACTGTGTATCAGATGAATCAGAAAGAAATAAAGATTAGGCATCTCAATTCCCTTTATAGTGCACCAGGGCCCATCGGGTTAAAAGTAGTGCACTACATAGGAAAGAGAGTGCCATTTGGGACACAGACTGATTAGGCTTTAATAACCTTTATGGACACATGAGGAGTGGGAGCAACAGCCTTTCCTCTGATGCTTGAGGAACATTCTTAGCCTGAGAGAAACCCACAGGCTGTGTGACCGGCACCAGCGAGGCTTCATGCCAACAGATGGTCCCGATAACCAGCAGTCACCGGTCAGTCACCTGCACAGCTATGGCCCTGTGACACAGCCTTTCTTATGGAAATCACCACTGCATCGTGATGTTCCAGCAACGTTCTGATGATGCTCCAAAAAAATTATGTTGATAATCCAGAAATGTTCTGATGATATTCCAGAAACGTTCTGATGATATTCCAGAAACATTCACAAAATATTCCAGAAATATTCTGATGATATTCCAGAAACATTTTGTTGATATTCCAGAAACGTTCTGATGATATTCCAGAAACCCTATCAAAGGAAAACAAAAGCCCAGAAAACTTTACTGAGAATCAAAAATGGCTAGAAATACCCAATTGAAAATATGTAAAACATGCTGACCTTATCATAGTAACTCACTATGACCATTTCATAGTAACTCACTATGACCATTTCATAGTAACTCACTATAACCATTTCATAATAATTCTTTATGACCATTTCATAGTAACTCATTATGACCATTTCATAGTAACTCACTATGACCATTTAATATGAACTTATACTGTAGAAATTGAGAAATGTTAGCTGGAAGGCCATGACTGGTGATAAGGATGCAGTCTGCGTCTCTGGGTAGGAATACTAAGTGTCTGATGGGACACTGGCCTCTTTCAGGGAGCAGCCCTGGTGTGAAGCATGCTGGGTAAGGCACGGCAGCCACCCATTCTAAGAGGAGACTGAGCCTATGACAGAGGACCCTGTTCTCATCAGGGACTGCTGTAGCTCAGTTGGTAGAGCATGGTGCTTGCAACACCAGGGTCGTGGGTCCCACGGGGGGCCAGTATGAAAAATGCATGCACTCACTAACTGTAAGTCACTCTGGATAAGAGCGTCTGCTAAATGACTAAAATGTAAAATGAGTATGTGCATGTGTGCGAGTGTCAGTCAAAACTATAATAGAGTACATGCTGAGCATACCAAAGAGAGAGCAATTTCTGTTGAAAGTGAGGAATAATTCAAAACTCCCACAGACTGGCCCCATTCTCCCCCCTCTCCATCCAACTCCCTCGCCTCTAATTTGCATACTTATTTTGTGATTATCAAAAAGCCGCTTTATGGAACATGACGGCAGAGAGAAAACATATGCAAAGTCAAAAGTTGTGTTATTTCCATCTAGAATGAACATATCAAAAACATACTTCTCTGGAGCTGTTTTGGTGTTGGATAGTGACTATATGGCATGGTAATATTATAAAGTGGGAACAACTGCGAAAGTGGCCCCCAGGTCCCTTTCAACTTCAACAACTTCAACAGTACTTAGACATTTAAAGGCATTTCCTATCTTCCAGGCTGTTTGAATTAAAGCGAGCCCGTAAAAATCATGTGGCGAATCTGTAGACGTGCAATTTATGTCACATCACCCCAGCAACATACTACAGTCATGGAGATGGGATGATATGTGATCCGCCCCAGCCAGAACAAACGCACTGGCTTGCACGACTTCCTCTCTTCCACTCTTTATTCCTGTCTTTTCTTTCATTCCTTTCCTCTCCCTCTCTCCTTCCCATTCTTTTTTCCATCACAAAGCCGGATGAGGGTCATCTTACCAATGTCCCCGGTGCCATGCAGAAATCGGATGTTATGTGTGTGTAAGTGTGTGTGTATGTGTGTGTGTGTGAGTGTGTGTGTGGCACTCTCTAACCCGTTAACATCTCAACTTCACAGATCTGACAGGGTCTTCCTCCTCTCTCAGCCTCAAAACACTTTCAGCTCTCTAAATGTTAATTTATCTCCATTAAATAAATATAGACTGCATAACAATCCCTAACTGAAATGCGTGTAACAGAGAGGTGGGATTCCAGTAAAAAGTATCTTTGTATGTAATATTTTATTTGTGTAGTGGACTATGTTGTATTCCTCTGGTGTTTGTATTTGTTTGTGTTGGTTTCTCAAGCTGTGTTAGGGCTCCTTTACCGTGTCCTGGTAGAAGTGGGTAGTATTTCCCTTGTAGTAGACTTTGAATTTGTCTGGTGTTTAGCTCTTTATGTGAGTGGGAGCACTGTGTCTGTGTTGGGTTTGGTTGTTTATTTGTGGGAGGGTAGTGTGTGTGTGTGTGCGTGTACACTTGTACATGTGCACATGCCTGTGTGTGTTTGCACGACTGTGTGCGTGTGTGTGTGCGAACCCATGTGTGTGCCACTGCGTGTGTGTGTGTGTGTGTGTATTGCTAATCTGCAGCCTGATATTCTGTGAATGGAGGGGTGGTGTTGTTGACCCACCTGCTCCCTTCTCTCTTCAGCTGGATCTAGTCAGATTTCAGCAGCTGCATCCCCTCACAAAGCACCTCTTTGTAATCCTCTCAAGGCGCACACACACAATTACAACAAGAAGAGGAGGAGAGGGGAAGGAGGGAAAAGAGAGCGAGAGAGAGAGAGAGAGAGAGAGAGAGAGAGAGAGAGAGAGAGAGAGAGAGAGAGAGAGATCTATAGCTACGAGACCTCGTATAGAGAGAGCTCGAGCTCTCTCTCGCCTATCTCCGCTCTCTCTCTCTAGAGCGCTATTTAGAGAGCATGCGAGGAAAAGGTGGTAAGTGTCATTGCAGTGCATAGAGAGAGAGAGAGAGAGAGAGAGAGAGAGAGAGAGAGAGAGAGCGAGAGTGAGAGAGAGAAAAAGGTGGTAAGTGTCATTGCAGTGCATATCTTTCAGCAAGGTTACTTACAGTAGCAGGCGCTCCTGTGAAGGAGCAGTGTTCTGGCACCTATATAACCCCCCGCACAACAGGCAGGTCACCCGTGATACAAGTCAGTATTAGACGTCCATCCATGTCTGAGGACGTCGGGAGATGACGTAGAAACCGGCCACTAGGGGCAACAGTGAGCGCTGTTACCTTCAAGTAGTTTTTGATTTTGACACACACACACCACCCTATAGATATCCACTGCCTCTCTAATTTACTGCTGACATTGCCTCTCACACTCTAACTTACCTCCTACATGAAAGCATATAATTCTATACCAAACACAACATTATTCAAATAAGGGACTTTAAAGTTCCATGCAAATGAGACAGATAGAGTGAAGGGCTGGAGTGTGTCACTCAGTTGGAGAGTGAAAGGAGCCGAGAAGTGTGCCACATTTGCTTCCCATCAGGCAAATTTTCCCCTGGCACTGTCTCGGGGCGCGGACCACGCCTGTCTGGGGCATGCCATGTCAAATATATACAAGGCCCAGTCAACCCCAGTCATGTCCCTGCTATCCCCCAGACACTAAACCCTCAACCTTTTAACCACCACAAGGCCTCCAAAGTCTTGGGTCTTACCCCCTAGTTACCAGACTTTCTACCCCCAGTTTAGGGTCCCATTTCCCCTAGTCTCTAGCGGCCAGTCCCTGTAGCCTGGCTGGACCCAGACTCCCAATCACCAGCAGCAGAGGAAAGGAGACGTCACTGGGAGATTAACAACAGCAGCACACTTTACTACCACCATAAATCATGACTGTATGTACCTGAGTAGCAGAGCCTTGGAGGCTGTAAATGCAAAAGACGAAGAGGGGTGGCAAGCGTTCGTTGGTTTTCATTAAATTACATTTTCCGTACGTGCATACAGCCACACACAGATGTGCATATAAGAACAAATACACACACATACAAATCCATGCACACACAGCTATATTTTTGTGAAATTTGGGGAGTAAAAATGCTTGACCATTAAAAATCATATTTTCCCTAACCCCTAACCCTAACCCTACCCCTAACCCTAAATCTAACCCCAACCCTAACCCTAACCCTAACCCTAACCCTAACCCTAACCCTTAACCTAACCTTAACCCTAACTCTAACCGAAACCCCAAAAACTCTAACCTTAACCCTAACCCTAACCTTAACTCCAAAACCCTAAACCTAACCCTTAAGCTTAAAATAGCATTTGAACAAATTCTGGACATGAAAAAAGTCCTGACTATTCAAAAAAGTTATTATTTTCCTACCTTGTCAGGACATTTGGGTGAATTGTTAGGACATTGGGGTAGGAAAACAAGTACACACACACCCACACACACACACACACAGACACACACTCTCCCCTTCTCCAGACACAACAGAGAGTGCGGCTCGCCATAGGCATGAGGAGAGTTTAGAGAGCCATATCATTGTTAAATTACCAATTATGAATTAATCCCAAAAACAAACAGGGGAGCCGCAAAGTAAGTAAGCAGTAAACCACAATATAACCAACAGTGGCATATAGTGCATAAAAAGAGGAGGAAGAGGAGGGGGGAAACTCTCATTCTCTCTCGTTCTCCATAAAGCGCCTTAATAACTCAGCATCTTGTTAAGCAGCAGGTCTTGCAGTGAGGTAGATTTACAGTCAATATTAAAGCTGTCCTGACTTCTCTCATGGGCTGTCATTAGATATACACACTGACCAGTGGGGTAAAGTACTTAAGTAAAAATACTTTAAAGTACTACTTAAGTAGTTTTCTGGGGTATCTGTACTTTACTTTACTATTTATATTTTTGACAACTTTTACTTTTACTTCACTACATTCCTAAAGAAAATAATGTACTTTTTACTCCATACATTTTCCCTGATACCCAAAAATACTCGTTACATTTTGAATGGCTAGCAGGACAGGAAAATAGTCAAATTCATGCACTTATCAAGAGAACATCCCTGCTCATCCCTACTGCCTCTGATCTGGCGGACTCACTAAACACCAATTCTTCGTTTGTAAATTATGTATGAGTGTTGGAGTGTGCCCCTGCTATCCTTAAATAAAAAACAAGAAAATTGTGCCATCTGGTTTGCTTGATATAGGGAATTTGAAATTATTTATACTTTGACTTTGACTTTTAATACTTAAGTATATTTTAGCAATTACATTTACTTTTGATACTTAAGTATATTTAAAACCAAATACTTTTAGACTTTTACTCAAGTAGTATTTTACTGGGTGACTTTCACTTTTACTTGAGTAATTTTCTATTAAGGTATCTCTACTTTTCAATACTTATTGACTAAGATTTAAGCATACTTTAGCTTTATCAGTATTTTTCACCTGACACAGCACTTCCAGCACTCATACCGGACCTACATTCATAATCATACCCATCGACCCAACCCACTACCACCACACCCACTCCAAATCCCACCGCAACAACCCACCCACCCCACCAACCAACCACACCCCACCCACCCAAACCCCCAACAACCCACACACACCACCCAACCCACCACCACCACCAAACCCCCAACACCAAACACCCAAACTATCAACCAGAGACAGAGAGAAGAGAGTAAGGAGAATAAGGAAGGAAGGAAGAAGGATGAATAGGAGAAGGAGAAAGAAGGAAGGGAAGGAGGTAACGAATGAATGAAGAAGGTTAGGCAGAAGTTCCATCTTGACTAGCATTAAGCCTGAAACCCAGGTATCCGTCCAGACCACGATGCCAGCACATATCTAACTAGCACCTACAGCATACGAACGAGCAGCATCCATGCTTGAAGGAAGGAAAGAAGGAAGGAAGGAAGGAGGGAGAAGGAGTGATACGGAGACAGAGTATGCATAATAATTAATTGTTCAATAAAATCCCATTTAGCATGGTAAGTACAAGATGTAAAAACAGCATGAGGGAATCTTGTCTGGTTTACGACTTGACTGTGATCTGCCACCTGTGGCACATATATAACTCAATAACTGTAAGGTCCATAACACAGCTGAGTTGGGTGTAAAGTAGTGGTCACCATGTGATGTTCTCTGGGCTGTAAAGTAGTGCTGGCAGAGAGGAGGGAGAGAACAGGGCTCTGCTCTCAGTCCTGAGGCTCTGTTATGGTGTTTGTTTTCAACACTGTCATGTCTCCAAGCTGATACACACATACAGACAGGAACTCAGGCACACGCACGCAGACACACACACAGACACAGGCACACACACAGACACAGGCACACACACACACACACACACACACACACACACACACACACACACACACACACACACACACACACACACACACACACACACACACATGGTGAGAGTAGTAAAATGTAATTTCACCCCAGTGTTGATTGTTCTGAGGTCTGAACAGAGGGACAGACTGGGTGAGGGCCTGGTAAAGGTCAGACTATCAACTGCACTGAGGTAAAGGTCAGACTATCAACTACACTGAGGTAAAGTTCAGACTATCAACTACACTGAGATTGACCCCATGATCCACTACTGAACTGCTCAGCAATAGTCGATCACCAAATATTTCTGTAAAAAAAACAACGACAAAGCCTTGTGTTCCTAATTTTGCTCATGCTATTTGTGGTAGGTGCACTTGATTCAGCAGCCCTAAGCACCGGGTAGGTGAAGTGTTCCCATTTTGAACCATTTCATGTGTCTGAAGGTACAAACTCTGCCTTCCCAGCGGCCCGGTGATCAAATCAAGTGCACCTATAGGCCTTCCACTGGCCAATCGGAAAGCTCCGATTACTGTGTCTGGTGCTTCCTTGAGTGCACAGCAAAGTTGATACTGTGAGATTTCAAAACTTGTAAAACCATGATTCGAGAGAGACTATCAACGAATACAGCAAAGAGTTTACTTTTTTTTATGGCACTGCCAACACTTTATTCAACACTTTTATATGCCATAAAACTACTTCCACTCGCGCTTCAACCAGAACTGCAGCTGCAATGAATGAGTAGTGAAGTGTATTGATAGGCTTGAGGCCAGAGTCAGATGAAGTCATGCATACCATTTGTATGTCTCTGCATCCAGTATGAAGGAAGTTAGAGGTAGTTTTTCGAGCCAATGCTAGCTAGCGTTAGCACAATGACTGGAAGTCTATGGTATCTACTAGCATTCTAGCAGTTACCATAGTCATTGCATTAACACTAGTTAGCAATTGTGCTAAGGCTAGTTAGCAACATCCTTCAAACTGCTCACAGAGACATAAAAATGGTATCCATGAGTTCATCTGACTCTGGGGAAGTAGATAAAGGGCTTCATTACCAAAATCCTGAAGTATCCCTTTAATATTGAGGAAAAGTTCACTTTCTCTGGTCATAGGAGTAACAGCATCAATCTGTGCATGAGGCAGAAATAATGCGGTGCGACTCGAGTTTTGCCATCAGTTGGATGCTGGAAGACGGTGTCCCCTCTTTGGTCAGTCTCAGAGGAGGAAGGGAGAGTGTAAAGACGGTGAGAGTCAGACCCTCTGCTGCTCTCTCCCTCCCTCCACTGAGACTGACCATCAGATACAGGCACCATCAGCCCAGTAAAAAAATAAGCTAATTATTTAAATGTTCACTCAGCTGTGCTTCACAGGTAATACAACAATCTATGACTGGTGTGATCATATACTGTAGGCCCTACCTCAAGTTTTTAAATATAATTTCTAAATGGTGTGAGAAGAACAAGAATGCATTGGCAGGGCAATTCAAGCATAGCCAATGTGTGGTGATAATGTATTGGGCCTCATTGCTACAGAACTGTTTTTAATAGGTTAATTTTGCACAGGCTAAAGTTTTTTAAGTAATGTTTTTTTTTTTATCTAAGTGGTAGATCTCAGCTTGCAATTTGACTCAGAAAAGGTTGGTGACCACTGGCCTACCATATGGGGCATGGAGATAAGTATCCTCCTGCACATAGTAAACATCCATTACATGAAGCAGAGAAGTAAGGGAATTCTGGGATTCAATCAAAGATGTGCTGTCGACAGCATTGCATTTGACTATTTAAATTTTTTTTGTTACACTTGAGTGAACATCCACAGCATTTACCATGACTATGATCTCTGCAGTTTACATCTGCGTGTTTTGGACATCTAAACATTGTGTGAGCTAAAGACTGCTGGGTTGTACCATTAGATTCATCTATTTCTTCTGCATCCGCTGATACCAAGTCTGGGTTATTAACGGGGGCTGCTAGAGCGTTGTTTGTGAGACAAAGCCGGATCCCGAAAAAAACGGTTCTTCTCACAAAAACGTCTGTAAAGTCCAAATGGTTTGAGCTACAAACTATTGTGAACCATCTATGAAAAGCTGAGACTCTCACAAACATGCACATGTAACCTGCCACAAGAGTCGTTAGAAGGTCAGAGGTTCTTCTACATAAAAAATCATAGGAAATCCCTATGTCTATAATACCGTAATATGCTCATATAGTTGCTGTCACAAACTCCAAACTCCACACAGTTGTCACTGACAAGTTGGATATTTATTTCCCAGTGAGCAAACAGTTTATGTACTTACAGCATTCATATAAATGCATTTTAATCAGGTTTTTGCTTTGGCATACCTTCTTTTTTTAATTGACATTTGTCAATAGAACTCATGAATGCAACTTTTTATGTTAATTGTTTTGTGCTCTACTTGTAGCCCTGGTTGTCCTGAAAAGAAAATGGAAAAACACTTCAATGTGAGGCTAAATATGAGGGCAGAGCATAAGAAGGCCTCACTGTGGGAGGCCTGGGACCAATTGTGCAGTGCGCATGTCCACAACACGCCTTTTTATTGAATCTTGGCCATAGTACATTTGTGAACTTATCTGAATAACTACATAATGATTAGAAGTAAGATTTAATTGTTGTTATTAAAACAACATATGTTTTCCAAGCAAAGAATGATGATGATAATGTTATATTTTAATTTCCTTTCATGTGTACTATGGCAGCTTAAAGCTGAATTGCAGTAACACATAAAATAAACACATTTAGATTAAATGTCAGGGAGTTGAGGCAAATATAAGTACAAAAGTAGCTAGATCAGCTATATCAAGTCTGTCTGAATGCTTCTTGAAGCCTCTAGATGGCAAGTCGCGGTCATGGAAGGATCTGGAAGTTCATAGCTAGATAGTCAGCAGAGGTGGTGGTCGGAGGTGCTGGCGGTCAGGTCAGCATGTCCAAGGGCAGGCAGGCAGCTCCATGTCATCCAAGCCTCTCTGCAGTCTTCTCTGTATTGGAACTTTGTGATTAAGTTTGCTCCCCAAAAATTACAGCTCATGTAGTCCTTACTTCTCCTCCTGATTAATGAACCCCCTGGCCCACTGCCAACTCTACATGCACTGCCTTCAGAAAGTATTCAGACCACTTGACTTTTTCCACATTTTGTTACGTTACAGCCTTTTTCTAAAATGTACTAAATTGTTTTTTCCCCCCATCAATCTAGACACAATACCCCATAATGACTAAGCAAAAACAGCTTTTTATACATTTTTGCAAATGTATTACAAATAAAAACTGAAATATCTCACTTACATAATTATTCAGGACCTTTACTCAGTAAAAGTTGCACCTTTGGCAGCGATTACAGCATCGAGTCTTCTTGGGTATGACGCCACAAGCTTGGCACACCTGTATTTGGGGAGTTTCTCCCATTCTTCTTTGCAGATCCTCTCAAGCTCTGTCAGGTTGAATGGGGAGCATTGCAGCACAGCTATTTTCAGGTCTCTCCAGAGATGTTCGATCAGGTTCAAGTCTGGGCTCTTGCTGGGCCAATCAAGGACATTCAGAGACTTGTCCCAAAACTACTCCTGCATTGTCTTGGCTGTGTGCTTAGGGTCGTTGTCCTGTTGGAAGGTGAACCTTCGCCCCAGTCTGAGGTCTTGAGCGCTCTGGAGCAGGTTTTCATCAAGGATCTCTCTGTACTTTGCTCCGCTCATCTTTGCCACGATCCTGACTAGTCTCCCAGTCCCTGCCGCTGAAAATCCTCTCCACAGCATGATGCCGCCACCACCATGCTTCACCGTAGGGATGGTGCCAGATTTCCTCCAGATGTGACGCTTTGCATTCAGGCCAAAGAGTTCAATCTTGGTTTCATCAGACCAGAAAATCTTGTTTCTCATGGTCTGAGAGTCTTAAGGTGCCTTTTGGCTCCAAGCGGGCTGTCATGTGTCTTTTACTGAGGAGTGGCTTCTGTCTGGCCAATCCACCAAAAAGGCCTGATTGGTGGAGTGCTGCAGAAATGGTTATCCTTCTGGAAGTTTCTCCCATCTCCACAGAGAAACTCCAGAGCTCTGTCAGAGTGACCATCGGGTTCTTGGTCACCTCCCTGACCAAGGCCCTTCTCCCCCTGATTGCTCAGTTTGGCCGGGCGGCCAGCTCTAGGAAGAGTCTTGGTGGTTCCAAACTTATTCTATTTAAGAATGATGGAGGCCACTGTGTTCTTGGGGACAATAAAAGCTGCAGAAATGTTTTGGTACCATTCCCCAAATCTGTGCCTCGACACAATCCTGTCTCAGAGCTCTACCGACGATTCCTTCGACCTCGTGGCTTGGTTTTTGCTCTGACATGCACTGTCAACTGTGGGACCTTATATAGACAGGTGTGTGCCTTTCCAAATCATGTCCAATCAATTGAATATACCACAGGTGGACTCCAATCAATAATTTGTTATTAACCGACTTGCCTAGTTAAATAAAGGTAAAAAAAGTTGTATAAACATCTCAAGGATGATCTGTGGAAACAGGATGCACCTGAGCTCAATTTTGAGTCTCATAGCACAGGGTCTGAATACTTATGTAAATAAGGTATTTCTGTTTTTATTTTTAATACATTTGCTAAAATGTCAAAAAAACGTTTTTCACTTCGTCATTATGGGGTAGTGTGTGTAGATTGCTGAGTATTTTGTTTTATTTAATCAATTTTAGAATAAGGCTGTAAAGTAACAAAATGTAGAAAAAGTAAATGGGTCTGAATACTCCTCTTGGGTGTAATTCAAATGAAATTAGTTAGCTTGTTGACAATGGCGATTTTTATCAATTTATGAGCAGGAATCCAATTCATGATATCAAGACTTGATCCTCACTCATTTAGCTATTGGAAAACAAAAGTTTGAACAAATATTTACATAAAAACAATTAAATATGTTTAAACATGTACAGAATTTACATGAGCTCTCTGCCTAGGCTGCCACTTGGCGTCATGGCAACTATAGAACCCCTGGGAATGGCTGGGTAGAAAGCTCATTCCTGTGAGAGAATGAGAAGATCAGACGTTGTGGTCCAGTGAAAAGACTCTTTATGTCCCCGTACTACACCAGTCCTTCATGTTTCTGCTTTGTCCCCTTATTTCCCTGTATGCACCTCTTTAACAGGGAACAGGAAGTGACCTCTGTGACCCCTCTCTCCCACGCCATGTGACCTGTAGCAGTGTAGTTCCCCCATTCAAGCGTGTACGTACGCACACTCACAAACACACACACGGGTTTACTTGCTATATGTAATACACATAACTAGCAGAACTGGAGTCCATATCAAGGTTTAGCTTGACTTTATATTAAAGGACCTACAACCATTATGGATAAAGTGGTCCATGCAAGTGTGAGACTGAACACAAAACTGTCAAAATAGATGAATGAACTCGCAGGACACACACAACTGACCAATACAACACACACACAAATACCTGTTGCTTTTTCCACTCCTATGTTTTGCATGTGATATGAGTACTAGTGAATCTAGCAGCAGTTTGAAATAGTGAAGTAGCTGATGGGAAAACCCCTACTAGCTCCATCCAGATGAAACCGTTCACACACTCTTCCTCCTTTCCCCGTCCCAGGCTAACTGGTGTTGGACAGGTCTGGAATGCACCTCTCCAAAACGGACTGTCACCTATCAAAAAACAATTGAAACCTGAACAGAAACATGTTTAATATAAAAGTAATTGCATGTTGGACATAAAGTTAAAGCAACACTCAATCCCTGGCCTCCCCTGATATGATGGGCACACGGCTGACACACAGATTTTCTAACAGCTTACATGGTTGCTCCACACTTGGTGCCTCTTGAATGAACAGGCTACAAAATAATTAATTAACTTTTCATTAAACTCAATTTTGTGAGTGCAGACTCTCTAAAATCTCTACACTCTCTCTAAAGCTACACTCAACTTCTAGCTTCACCAAGAAGGAATAGGGTTTATCAGCTTGGAAGGAGAAAGTAGGTAGTCTTGTTGACTGCTATCTTCAATGGACCTGTACCAGGCAAGCTTTGTCACAGTAATTAACCATGATTTCCAATGCCTTATTAACTATACATTCATCAACAATATCTTTACATAGCCAGACATTTAGAAGACATTGCATGTACTGTGTTACAAGCCAATTGGTCAAGATGTTCGTCCTTTATGACGGACTGAGTGTCGCTCCTAAAGCAAATCACAGGATCGGTAGCCGAGGCTATCATCGGTCCTCATGAACCAATAAGAAATCACCTTAATTACTCCCAGAACCCCACCCTTCATCTCTGTAATTCACTGTCCGACCCAGCCAGAGCTTTATTAACCAATAAACAGTTGCAAATTGACAGATCACAGAAACCCACAGAAAATGGCAACACATTCCTCTACTGTTGGCTATATTTACTCACCAGCTGGCTTCAAATTACTACACTTACAAGTAGAGTGATGGGGGAAAGGAGGGGTAGATGAGAGCGGAAAAGAGAGAGAGAAAGAGAGTGAGCGGGAGAGCGAGAGAGCAAGAAACACATGGAGAGAGAGAGAGAGGGGGAGGCGGAGAGAGAGACAGAGAGAGAGAGAGAGAGAGAGGGGTGGTGGAGAGAGACAGAGAGAGAGAGCCGAAGAGAGAGAGAGAGAGGAGAGAGAGAGAGAGAGAGAGAGAGAGAGAGAGAGAGAGAGAGAGAGAGAGAGAGAGAGAGAGAGAGAGAGAGAGCATAAAAATGAATTTACTGTATGTGCATGTGGTTAGAGGATACTAAAAGCCATTTCTGCTGCTTCCACCCCCCCCTTTCATTTAATATAAAGTATTTAGAGCTTTATTAACCAATAAACAGTTATATGATATTATCATATAAGATATTCAATTGTAAATACATTTCGAGGAATTAACATGGCCAGAACACTAGTTAAATTGATTTAACATCTGAAGATATTCATTCAATTGCACACGTACTACCATGTCATCAATGTTTAAGACGTGATTCACATTCAAAAGATTTTCAGAGAAAATCAACCCATATTACTTTTTCAATGTATTTTTTCAAAGGTAAACCAGTTTATGTGGATTTACCAAAGGTATATTCTCTAAGCCACCAGGAATATGTTAACAGACGAAACATGGAATAACACTTCACTCAGATGACGAGACAAGCTGGGCTTTAATCAGGTCAGTGCCAGGTGCACCAATGTGTTTTTGAGCATGACAACCCTATTAGATGTGGGAGGGGGTGTTTGTTGCTCATAAAGAAGGGGAGAAGGACGGTTGGTTGGTGACTAACAAGAGTATGAGTTATCCTTCGATGATCTCTCAGGCCAGTGTTCAATAACATACTGAACATGAATACAACTATCTGATGTTAGCTGCAGTGTTTTAGTGTCTGTCTGTCTGTCTATCTGTCTGTGAGCATGTGTGTGTGTGCACGTTTCTCTGGTCGTCTGTGTATACGTCTGTGTATTGGGGAGCAGAGGGGCTTATAGCTTACAGTATGTTCCAGTGGGAGTTAGTTTAATTAATCCTAAGTAAAAACAATCCACCAGAGAGGTATCTCAGAGCAGAGGAGCCATCCGCTCTTAACGCTGCAAGACAAAGTCCCCCGAGCCAGACGACAAGCCATCGTGGTCTAGCTATAGCGGAAAGGCCTCCCATTTCCCGTAAAGCCAAGGGGCGGTTCTCTGATCTGTTACCCCCTCCACCCCTCTGCGCATTCCGCCGCCCCTCCAAACTGCTAGATGTCCCGCGCCATCTAATTCACTGGCAAATTAGGAAGATGATTTAAGAGAATCTGGGATCAAAAAAGCAGACAATCTGGAAGACTGAAGCACACCACAAGTTTTATCCAGACCATATGTATATGGATACAAAGGGAGGAGAGGGAAGAGAGGGATACGGCAGAGAGAAAAAAGAACATACACAGTTCCCCCTGTCTGGGACTAGATACAGGATGGGAACACAGTTCCCCCTGTCTGGGACTAGATACAGGATGGGAACACAGTTCCCCCTGTCTGGGACTAGATACAGGATGGGAACACAGTTCCCCCTGTCTGGGACTAGATACAGGATGGGAACAAAATCCCATAAAATCCCCCCTGTGCATCTGACCACTTATCCTGTCACTGTGGAAAAGAAACCAGGGACAGCTACTTTGTTTGCTCATGGAATCACAAACGACAGTGATATGGCTCTAGGATTAAATATTTGGCCTGCATATCCCCTTTATCGAGACACTTCAAACACTCCGAAAGGAATTGTTGTGTCAACAGGTAAAACCATTATGCACTGTGTTTGTGTGTGTGTGTGCGTGTGTGTGCATGTGGACGTGTTTAACTATTCAGGACCAGACGTCCCCACAAGAACAGTAAACTAACAGAAATTGTACCAACTGGGGACATTTTGTTGGTCCCCACAAGGTCAAATGCTATTTATAGGGGATTAAGTTAAGTTTAGAATTAGTGTTAGGGTTAGAATTAGGTTTAGGGTTAAGGTTAGGAGCTAGGGTTAGTTTTAGGGTTAGGGTTAGGGTTAGAAGCTAGGGTTAGGGTTAGGGTTAAGGTTAGGTTTTTGGGTTAAGGTTAGGGTTAGGGTTAGGGTAAGAGTACGGATTAGGGTTAGGTTTAGGGTTAGGGGTACTATGTGTGTATGTGTGTGTCTTGTTTGTGTAATACGTTGCCTTTAACTTAAGGCGTATCAAAGTTTTCCAGAATCACCAATAGCTGCAGAACAAAAAAATTAACAATTTCAAATGATAATTTCAGCACTGCCATGGCTACCATCCTGTCACTCTGGCTATCATAAGTCCTCTCTATTCCTGAATCCTGACCTATCCCCAATAAGAATGCACGTACACAACCACCTCTAGTTATTAGCCCTGACTAACAAGACAGTTATGTGTCAAGGAGGAACGAAACACAAAATAATCTGGAGGTACTTGAGTTTTTCTCCCCTAATACTCCTGACATTTACAGAAGAGTGTGGCTCATGCTGTTTGTACTAATTGTTTCCTTCAGTTTTAAAACACCCTCCCTCCTCACACACACACACACACCATCTCCCCAAGCCCACTAATAGCTCTGAATAAAACCACAAATTGGACCAGTAAACCCCTCATTACGATGTTTTAATAGAACGAATATTAGGGGAGTGAGGGGTCAGGGGTCAATAGGAGGAGCTAATGCACAGCAGTTGTTAGGGGCCGGGGCCAGCTCTGATTGGAACCAGCAGCAGCCAATAGGAATGGAACCCACCCCCACACACACACACACACACCCCACCCCCACCCTTGAAACGTCCGCCTGCAGGTCGACGGTGACCTGACTAAATAGTAGACAACCTGGAAAATACATCTGGCCCACGGCCCAAAAGTTAAAACATCCACCATTAACTCAACAGTAGGGGAGGGAGTGTGAGGGGGAGGATGGGACGGGGAATAAAACATCCATCATAGAGGATTTACCTTCATGTAGGTGAGAACCTGGTTGGGTCACATCTAACTCTTGGGCTCACAGTAGGACACAGCAGGCTAAGCTAGGGAAGTTGTCAATGGTAATAGCACACCTTATCTCTCTGTTCATTCACCATGTTTTCTGTATGCATCGTTTGCAAATGAAGTATTTCGAAAACTTTCAACAGGCGAAGTTATATATGTGTGTGTGTTTGTGTGTTTGTGTGTTTGGGTGTGTGCCGGTGTGAATAGGAGTGAGTGTGAAGAGAGAGGTGGTCCGTCTGCCTTTGATGTGGTCCTGGCCTGGGCTGAGAAGGGAGAGAGAGAGCTGTGCCGGGGGCACGGTAGCTGAGTGGAGCCTGTTGAGTGTGTGGTTTGGCCTGGTTAGGGTGAGGGTGGCCTGGTGAGGGGCAGGCAGGGAGTCACTGGCCCAATGGAGGGTAAGCCCCACAGCTCACCATTGCGCAGCCCTTCAAGCCTGACTCAGAGTGAACAGGCAGCACTCTGAACACTCGATATAGCAGCAACGTGTAAAACAGACTTTCTCTGTGAACCGTGGCATTCTCTACCTACACTACATGTTGTCACACCACAGAACATACTACTGTGATGGAGAAAACTCTATCCTATAGATATCTCAATCTGCCACCCTGTTGAAATCATCAACATTCTATTTCACCATATAGCAATGATGTCATGAAGGGGGGTCACCAAATTGATTCTAATACTAATGGGGTGACATGTTGGATGCTTTTTCTAATAAATAACCTACCACTTGTTGTTTTTTTCACTTCAATATTTTTCAAATGTTTATTTATTGAATAAAATTGTTTCAATAGGTTTGAAAATTAACTCAATTGTTAAAACATGTTTTACAATAGAAACAAGAATAAAATATAAATAATAATCTCAGCGACTGTCACGCCCTGACGTATGGAACTCTTGTATGTCTTGTATGTTGAAATCTATGTGATGTATTCTATGTTTAGGATCTAGGTATTGGGTTTCTATGTTTGGCCGGGTGTGATTCCCAATCAGAGACAGCTGTCGCTCGTTGGACATAGTTTGTACAAGTGCACCGGAAAGGCTTGTGTTATGGTCAGCTTTGAAACCACTGCTACCCGAGTAGCTACAAACAACACTAAACAACTCAGTGGAAGATTGGAAGGTCGGGTGGTTGATCCCCGGTCGAGTCATACCAAAGACAACACTAAACAACACTAAACAACTCAGAGTGGTCCTCTGTAGCTCAGCTGGTAGAGCACGGCGCTTGTAACGCCAAGGTAGTGGGTTCGATCCCCGGGACCACCCATACACAAAAAGATTTATGCACGCATGACTGTAAGTCGCTTTGGATAAAAGCGTCTGCTAAATGGCATATTATTATTATTATAAAGACTCGAAAAATGTGACCCAATGCCTCTCAGCTTGGCACACATTAAGGAGATGGATTGGGGGTAAGGCCCTGTGACACACTAGTATTCTGTCCAGGTTACAGAAACAGGAGAAAGGCTCCTGCCCTATGGGCCAGTCTGGCTCAGACAAGGCCACCACCACCCAGGCCAGAAACAGTATTCACCAGAAATACAGAGATGCTAGTGCTTTGCACCAGATAACCGGTGATTCTACTGCCAGCCTCAGAACACTTCCCATCCGAGTAGCTGAGCTCAGGTGTAGGGAGATGGAGAGGGAGTGAGGGATCTTGTGTGGAAGAAGATTGTGGAAGTGATGAATGTGGCAGAAGAGAGGAGGATAGAGGCTGCAGGTTGTTTGTTTCTGCCTCTATGCTGTTGGTTGTAGGACATGGACCTGCTGCTCATGATCAGTGTCAGAGGACTACTGTAGGTACAGTGATGTGAAGGAGAGATGAGGGGTATGAGGGGTCTGAGAAAGGCTTTAAGAACAACATTAAAATAGGTTAATATAAAGACATTTACCCATTGTAGTTATATATAGCGCCTAAACTGACATATTACGTATGAATGTTACTATAAAGACGTAAGAAAACACCACAATGTTATACATTAATTTTAACTAGGATCATGAATGAAAATATGCTTTTGTTTTCCTAATGAGACTACGTTTATTTTCATTCCTTAGAAAATGGCTTCATTAGAGCTCCATGGAGATGGACACAAGGAGAGAGGAGCTGAGAGGGAGACAGACAGCTGTAAAGATGCTCAAAGTGCTCCAGGGTTGGTGACCCAACGTGGTTCAACTAAGAAGAGAGCCCGCCGCCGCGGTCCAACAAGGGGAAACACTGACTAACAGAACATTGTTCATTTGTATTCCAAATAATAGAATATAACTTTTTCTAATAAATAAAACTTGTTTTTGCATCATATTTTCTGTTCTTATTTTTTATAGGAGTAGTTTGAAGAGGTTTGAAAATGACCACAAAATGAGCTCAAAATGTAAAAAGTATAGTAGCCATTTAGAACCTGTTGAAAAATTGCCACAGAAAGAAATAACATAACTAAGTTGATTTATAAAATTCAATAGGGTCTTATTAAATTTACATATTATATTTTATATTTTATTTAAAAAACAAATGGGGGGGGGTACATTTACATTTGAGTCATTTAACAGACACTCTTGCATGCTTACAACAACGAACAATGCATTATATCTGAATGCTTTCAGTAAAGTTTTACCATCATATACAGCTGAAGCTGAAATGAAAGCCTTTTAAGATTCACTGAGGTTGCCCATCACCCTTTTTTTGCTGGGTTTTAGGGTTATAGCCTCATAGTTGCCTCGCATTTTGAATGGGTGACCCATGTTTAGGGGTTATTATACATACTGTAATAGGGTCTTGGTTACTTTACCGTCTAATTTCCCCAAGCCCCTTTTCTCATCTTCAGAACAGGTCTCTCTTGTAAAATATTGAATAATCTGTTTAAACCTCAAATTAAAATCTGGACCACGAAGTGTTGAATAACCTGTATAAACCTCCAATTAAAATCTGGACCACGAAGTGTTGAATAACCTGTATAAACCTCCAATTAAAATCTGGACCACGAAGTGTTGAATAACCTGTATAAACCTCCAATTAAAATCTGGACCACAAAGTGTTGAATAACCTGTATAAACCTCCAATTAAAATCTGGACCACGAAGTGTTGAATAACCTGTATAAACCTCCAATTAAAATCTGGACCACGAAGCCAGTTCCACTACTTTTTTTCATTCTTCCCCTCTAATCAGGGACTGATTTGGACCAGGTGGGTTCTATCAGAGAAAAACCATCAGCACTCCTGACCTGTAGAGTAAGATTTAAATACCCTGCTGCATAAAATTAAATAAAAGGAACATAACACACCTGTTGATGGTCCTGTCAAGGCTACTGTTCATATAATATATAGTTCTGCTAAGTGGGAAGCCTGTGCAAATTCATATAGCTACTTTAAAGAAATTGTTCCAAGCAAAGAGACGTGCTTTAAGTGTATTAGAAACAGAGGCAGACTAAAGGATATAGCTTTCCCGTGGGTGATTCTGTAATTTTATTTTGTATGTGTGGTAGAGTATTATTGACATGGCGAGGGGCATTGGCTGACCAGAGCTTGGGAGTGTTGGGATAGAGAAGAAGGGGAAGCTGTGCTGCATGAGGCTCTGTCTCAGTGAGAAAATCTTAACGCCAAAGCAGAGATCCTTTGAGATGTCTCCAAAAGCAGAACATTTAAACCTTCCTTCCCTCCACGGGACACTTAGGGTTCACGCACGCCCCCCCCCCCTCCCCATCCCCCCTTTTATTTTTGTAATTCTCTCTCTCTCTCTCTCTCTCTCTCACAAGAGCTCTCCCAAGTCCCCACCACAACACAGGGACCGGCGAAGGACAAGGGCTGGAGTCTTTTTAACTGCCTTCCTCTCCTCACTTCCCTCCTCTCCTCTGTTCCCATATTCTCTCCTCTCTAAGCTCCGTTTCCCTCTCCTGACCCCAGACCCCTCCGAAACCACCACAGGCCAGTCCCGCTCCCGCCTTCCGCTTGGCAGAGTATTAAGGCAGCTGTCAGTCAATGTTACGGTTCCGCCCTCCTCGCTGTCTCTCTGAGTGGCGATACTATGATTGCGAGCTGAAACTAGTTGTAGTAATTTTAGCTATATTCTGTCCTGTTGGCTCTACTGGCATCCATTGCTCCTGAGTGAAGTTTACCCTAGGTACAGATCTAGGATCAGCTTCCCCTCCCCCAATCCTAACCTTAACCATTAGTGGGGAAAATGCTAAACTGACCCAAGATTGGCAGCTAGGGGCAACTTCACCCTACTCCGCAACCAGTAGGCTGGGTCTTATCCACATTCACTACCACAGGACAACAGGATTATTTCAATCACTCTATTCAGTATATAGCTACACTCACCTGCTCTGGCTCTGAGACTTTTACCTCCATTTAACAACACTGCACAGAGACAACTTTTTCCTGTCATCAATAACATGTCTTTGAACCTTCTCCCAACACAATGTGACCCACCTGAGTCGACTTTGTTGGGGTGCTCCACTGTTCTTAATGAAAGCAGCCTGTCGTCGGCCATGCTGGCTATTCTTCTGTCCTGCCTTGGCCATTTACTTTCCCTTCCTCAGATACATGGCTTCTGGAATACGTAGCTTGTTCTGATATGTAGCTTGTTCTGCTGAGTCAGTCAGAAAGTGTGCAATTAGAGACCATCAATATCTAATTAAAATTATATTTTATCCAAAATGTCCCAATCAATTTACAGTATTCAACAAAAGTGCACAGATTGCTTACAAAACATTTAGGTAAAAAGTAAGTCAGTATTTTCTTTAGGAAACAGGGCAGTTTGATTACACTCATCCGATTACACTTCAAAATTCAAGAGAATCCAATCTTATGCAAATGCAGGGTCACAGGGACCCATGAGAAACCATTGAGAATGAAAATCTCAATGCTCCTTGTTCATTCAGTCATTCACAGAACTCCATGAGGTGCTGCAGAGAGTATTGTCTTACTGTTTACTGTGGTGGGCCCATATGCCCCACAACACGTAGCCGTGTGTGTGTGTCAGACATTACAGTATAGAGGCATGTTTAAACTAGCTCTGTGTATGACAGAAAACCCTCAGTACTGTCTACCTCTCTCCAGTCATCTTTCATAGAGCACCACAAACTTATAAAAAGCAACTTCCAGACTTAAAGAATTTCTCAAAGAATGACAAAACCCTCTGGAATTTGATGACATAATTTGTGTGGTGTGAAATAGGAAAATACTAGCAGATGGAGCTTACGCCTTTTAACTTGTGTTAAGCAAATTCTACAGTTTCTAGTTCAAATGAAAAACACAGTACACAGACAGAGAGATTATTATCAGTGCTGAGGGAGCAGATGGCCAACAGTAATTTCACTAACAAAGTATTAAAACATTTTCATTCACACTTTAAAAAAAAAAGGCCAACCCTTCTTTTTTTCTGACTCCCTCGCTCTCATCTTGTTAGCCCATAAAGATCACATGAGACGTACTCTACAAGCCTATTCTTCTTACCTCCAAATAGAGTGTGGAAGATAGTGATGATGGAGATATTTCCAATATTTTCCATCCCCTTTTTCCATCCGATTCTGCATTGAAGAGCAACAGCAACAACATATTCCACATTGCTAAAGACCTCTCCCATCCCATCCAATTCCCATTCAACTGTCTGTCCATTCCATACGTAGATATCCAAAGGTTGGCTTACCATTCCCCTAGCCTAGCTGTTTCCCTAGCCACCTACAGTGAGCATTGAATAAACCAAACTGCCGGTCAACTGAAACATACCTTGTCTTTTCAATGGAAAGAGCGGTGATAAAATATCTACATGGGAACACACAGAGCCACACAGAGCCACACAGAGCCACACAGAGCCACTAACAAAGGCAGTGATTCAATCTCTCATCTTATCTCCTCTACTCATTCTCTCTAGCCTTCAACATCATCAAGAGGCCTGTTCATATTTTCATCTGAAGTCAGATGTGTTTTTTTCCTCATGGATAACAAACAGACATCTGTCTTTGAGAGATGGACTTCCTCCTTCAACTGTGAAACCTGGCTGCAGTTATAGTCACTACTATAGTAATGTTAACAAAAGAGCTTTACAGTAGCCTACGTGGCCCTGACTGGTAAGTGATGTGGCCATGTTATCTAAAGCTAACAGAGGCCTTTGTTTCAATACATTAGGAGTATTCTGTACATGTGTGGTTCGTAGTGTGGCACAGTGTGTGAACAAGAGTCTGGTCCATTTGGTTACATTCAAATTCAGGCTGTGCCCTGCCCCTCACAGGGATGGATGTGTCTTATCATAGGCCACTAAAACAGAGATGAGAGTCACTGCTACAGTGTAAATGAAAATAGCACCCTGATTATGTGGCTGTTGAACTAACTGACGCATAAATAATCTACATGTTGAAAATATTATTTATTTATTGATGTATTATTTTTTATTTCCATGTGGCTTAAGTTTTCATTTAGTATTTTCAAAACGTTTTTCCCCAATACTTTTAAGTTCACCATAGGCATCTGACTTATTTTGTAAACTGGCAAGCTCAGAACAGTACTGTCTCTGTGTTACCTTTATTACAGTGACTGACTGCAATGTCACAGGCAACTAGGACCAGAGGTGCCCACTGTATATAGCCTCGTTATTGTTATTTTACTGTGTTACTTTTTATTTTATTTTTTACTTTAGTTTATTGAGTAAATATTTTCTTAACTCTATTTCTTGAACTGCATTGTTGGTTAAGGGCTTGTAAGTAAGCATTTCACGTATTGGGCGCATGTGAGAAATACAATTTGATTTGATTTGATTTGAACTCTCACTAGTTATTTATTAGAATGACCTTAAAAAATAAACATTTGTCTTAGTAGGCCTATGTAACCATAATATATTCCATTCACAATTACTTTTAATTTGTACTTCACATTTTCAGATTGAAGTCCATTGCCCTGGCACAAAGTGGGAAGATATCTATGCACTGACCTGTGGTGGTGCCGTGCCACTGGCGAATCCTAATTGGCCGACAGCGTCTGATGGGCAAGAGAGCGCTGCTGCTACAGAAATACAAGCCAGAGCACCACTGACTACACTGGACACCGCGCTGAACCGACTGTGTAGTTAGTTATGTTCTCATACCTGTCATTAATACGGGTTTGTCTCAATAGTTTTTAGAATGGGAACCAGAATAGGTTACAACTCCCTGCGCGTTCAACAAGTGCTTTTTAATGTGGATGTTTAAATAATGTACATGCTATCATGAAGCCAAGTATAATTATTATTCCAGCGTCCAACCACAACTTTTGACAAATATCTGACCAATTGACAACATTACGAATCTGTTGGCACTCGAACGAAATCAGCTAAATATTTTTTTATCTGGACATTTTTATATCCTACCTCTTTACAATATTTTCTCCCTATAGTCCTATCCCATGTGAATTAATTTCGATTGTCGGTGTCTATTTTGTCCAAACAAAACTTAGCCTACGGATAAAAACCCTGTCAAAATGTCCGCAAGGAATGGAAACGCATGACTTTCCTCTTCAACAATGAAGTGGCTGTGCATAATAGAGTGAATGTGATGCTTTAATCCAAGTCCCTGACGTGGATAAAAATGATTACATATTTGTAATACATAGAAACCTAAAACGTTTTCTATGCAATGGTTTAAATTAAAATTCCACCTTGTCAAAATGATGAAAATATTATCTTTGTTATTGGACGTTTTATTTATCTAGAATATAGATGCAATTCTATCAAAAGGGTCAGCACGTTATTAGATGAAGTCTTAAACAATAAATACGACACATCTGTTTATGAGTGTGTTTTAAACGTATAAGTGCACGGAGGACATTAAGGTTGGTTTCATATGATGCGTTATCATCTACGTAACCACTACGAATCAAATTGCTAAGGCAATGAAATATCACAAATAATATGTTCATAGGATTATGTCTTTAAAAAAAACAAAAACATTATTGCTTAAATATGTATTTTTTTGTGCCAGGATACATGCATATTTACTAGGCTACCTAACATAAGGAGATTGAAATAAAACATATTATTTGTGAATAATGCACTGCAACTTAATAGTAAAATAGTCTAGAAAGTATGGAACAAAAGTAAAGTATGTCTCTCAAGTTATTCCAAAAATATTTTACATACCAAAATTCTATTCAATAGAAGTATTCTTTATAAATAACATCAATTCTTTGATGTATTGATATGCTACTGGATTCAAGATTGGAAATAGATTTCTGACACTTTCATAATGTTTTGTGATAAAGCTTAGTCAATGTCACAATGGAGGTGTTTATTATTTGCGATTGCCAAATAGGTAGGCTAATCGGCACTAAACGAGAGTGTGCACGCTCGGATGAGTATGAAAAAATGAAAACGTTATTACAGAAACATATATATATATTATTATAATATTTTTATTTTTTTACAAATGACTTGCCATTCAATACCACAACCAATCGGAAACGAAAATGGTGATAAGGCTCAGCCAATCAGAAGCAGAAGGTGGAGTGAGGGCTCCAAACTTCAAGTAAAGTTCCTCTATCGCCCAACCTCTGCACTCATAGTGAAGACTGCTGCGTCCAGAACTGTACCACCCCTGACAGCACAGGACAGGACCGAAGAAAAACAAACAAACAAAGGGAAAACAACAGAGTTTTTGTTTTTGTTGATGCTGTCAAGGAGTCTACCTAACATGGTTCAGCGTGCGTAAAATGCGCAATCGTTCTAGCTCATTATTTTCACTTAAATAGTCGGCGACGCTTTAAAAAAGAAATCAACAACACTAAAGTATTTACATCGGATTTAATCCTTTTGAGGCTGACCAAATGTTAAAAATGACCGCAGAGCATGACAAGTCCATCAGCGACCCGCCGTGTAGCCCGGCGGGGACTACCAGCTCCATGTCGCAGGATGACTCCGACTCGGATGCACCCTCGTCGCCGACGGGATCAGATGGACACGGATCACTGCTCGCTGGTATAGGAAAGAAACTGGACGGCGAGGATGATGACAGATTCCCAGCCTGCATACGTGACGCGGTGTCGCAGGTTCTCAAGGGATACGACTGGTCCCTCGTCCCCATGCCGGTGCGGGGAAATGGCTCGCTGAAAAATAAACCCCATGTCAAAAGACCGATGAACGCGTTCATGGTGTGGGCGCAAGCTGCGCGCAGAAAGCTCGCGGACCAATACCCTCATCTGCACAACGCCGAACTGAGCAAGACTTTGGGGAAGCTATGGCGGTAAGTAGGACCAAATGGGACTGTTTATAATTTGGTTAACTAAAAAAATATAATTTACATACGCCTATCAAACAAAAACAAGTATACTTGATACAGTACAATGTCTGAATCTGATTTTAAAGCGATGTGTCACTAAATAGAAACGAATTAGGTCATCATTCCAGTGACTATTCTGTGAAGTCAGTAGAAAACATGCACATTTTTGCATAATTTAGAAAGTTGAAATATTACGACTGTAAAGAAAAGAAAAGAAAAACGGAGGAAAGTATGTGTTTCCTACTTTGGATAATTGTAGGCCTAATGACCAGAATGATCTTCCCTGTTTAAATAGGCCTACTTAAAAAAAAAAGTATATGTGTTTTATAATTAGGCTATTACAATTCACTAACTGAATAGTTAATTTACATATTATGTTTACACTATTACCATAGCTTACTATCAGAGAATGAGAAGCGGCCATTCGTGGAGGAAGCGGAGAGGCTTCGGGTGCAGCACAAAAAAGATCACCCCGACTACAAGTACCAGCCTCGGCGTAGGAAGAGTGTGAAACCTGGGCAGAGTGACTCAGACTCTGGTGCGGAGCTGGGGAATCAAATGTACAAGGCTGAACCAGGATTGTTGGCGGGCATAGCCGATGGACACCACCAACCTGAACATGCAGGTGAGTTGATGAGAAGGAATGTGTCAAAATAGCACAATTAACATCTTATGTAGTCAACCATTTGGATTTATGAAATGTGTTAATGGCTGAGGACAGTCAATACTTTACAATGTCTGTTGTTTTTTAGGAGCTAATTGTACAGTAACTGTTAATAATATTGAGATTTTACAGAATGTCCCCAAAGCTTCATGACATTCTAAATTGACCAATTAATTACATGTGATCAAATTCGACCATATTTTGATCACTTGGACCATTCCCAAGTGTGGTCCACAACACAGCTGACATGTTATTGTTTTACCATCCTCAAGGCCAACCTCATGGTCCACCCACCCCCCCCACCACCCCCAAAACAGACCTGCACTACGGGGGCAAACAGGACATGAAGCACGAGGGACGGCGCCTGCTGGACAGCGGCCGACAGAACATAGACTTCAGCAACGTGGACATCTCCGAGCTCAGCACCGACGTCATCAGCAACATGGAAGCCTTCGACGTGCACGAGTTTGACCAGTATCTACCACTCAACGGCCATGCCTCCACCGCTGGCGCAGGTGTGGACCACCATGGCCACCATGGACCAAACCTGGCGTCTGGCGCCGGCTCGTATAGATCATACAGCCATGCCACAGTGAACAGCGCCATTTGGAGCCGCAAGAGTGCCGCCATGTCTGCCTCTTCCTCAACTTCTAGCGAGGCGGTCCCACAGCACCGGGCCCACATCAAGACGGAGCAGCTGAGCCCCAGCCACTACAGCGGGGACAGTCACTCCCACAGCTCCCCCTCCCACTCAGAATACTCCCACTCCTACACAGCCCAGACCTGCGTGACATCATCCGCCGCTGCAGCTGCAGCCTCCTTCTCCAGCTCTCAGTGTGACTATACAGACCTCCAGAGCTCCAACTATTACAACCCCTACTCAGGCTACCCTTCCAGCCTGTACCAGTACCCCTACTTCCACTCCTCCAGAAGGGCGTACCACGGGAGCCCCATACTCAACAGTTTGTCCATTCCCCCCACCCACAGTCCCCCCACATCCAACTGGGACCAGCCGGTGTACACCACCCTATCCAGACCGTAGGTGACTGTTCATGTAAAAGGACCATCCATTACTCACCAGGAACATGTTCATCAATATGTTTTGCAACGGACAACAAAGATGACCATTTCTTATTTGACAAGTCCAAGTAGTCCCTCCCCTTTTTGTTTGTCTGGTGCCCAATGAACATGACCCAGGTCTCATGGAAATGTGAGAACTAGAGGAAAAGGATCGGAGGGTGCTAGGCTACCCCCATGCCAATTTGAACATGAAGTGAAATAGAAAAATAATTGAAGTGCCTGCTGTTTTTATACAAAGCTTTTTCGTTTGAGCTTACCCATGGAAAGACAGAAAGACTGACTTTGCAACAGAAATCAAGTCAAAGGCGAACCAAAATTCCTCTGTGAGGAGTCGGACATCCCCCCCGCCCCACACACACACACATCTAGTACAGCCACGCCTTTTTCAAGTTCAGGGTTGTGTTCATTAGGGCACACAATGGAAACGTTTAAAGACGTTTTGCAACGGGAAATTAGCATTTCTTATTTCTTCTGTTTGGTGCCTAATGAACACGACCCAGGTCTGCACATGTTGTTGTGTTGTGTGCACCGTTTGAGACAGCAGCGTGCAGGCCTGCCATGGACTTGTGTAGGAGAGAGAGGGCATAACGGTTAGGCCCAAGTCCTTTGAGAAGCAGATGGAGAAACAGATACTTTTGGAATGAAGCTCTGGGATTAATTATGTGTTTTCACAGGCTGAATCCCAAATGCCACCCTATTCCCTTTATAGTGCACTACTTTTAACCAGGGCCCTTAGGGCTTTGGTCAAGTAGTGCACTACAGTACGAGGCCGAGCTGTATAACTTAAATATGCACACATATATTTACATCAGTGGACCAGTCTTAATTCAGTTGTTCATTTATATTCTTAAATGTTCATGTTGTTGTTATTTTGACGTTAGAAATATCTTAAATATGTATTTATGTTCATTACGTTATTTTCCTTTTTGTTTCCGATTTATTCGTTAAACACTAGTAACAAAGGAGGGGTATATCTCAATGTCTTTCGGATGAAAATGGGTGGATGGTGGATCTAAGTACAGTAGAAATTCTATGACACATTACTACATTTTATAGCACCATTCCCTAGACGACCAATAACAAACATTGTCTCCATTCCAAGTTGCGGGACAGCAAAGTGGGACCAATAGAACAGCTCTATTTGAATATCACATGATGCAACAGATACCAATAGACCAATAGAATGCCACCTGATCCAACAGGTGCCTGGAAGCTATGCTTGGCCAATTGCGATTAGTCATGATGTGGGGTTAAAGGAAGTGGGGTAAGATAACACCAGACACACTGAGTAACGCGTCAGCTGGACTCATGCAGACAAGACGACACACAGATGTGTGTGTGTGTGTGTGTGTGTTTGTGTGTGTGTTGTATTAGGGGACCAAGCATGAACAAGTAAGGACAGAACAGTTGTTTTGATTGACTAAGCAGCACACTGTACTGTTATCTGAGCTAAACAGGGTCACCGTAAGCTTACAAAGAAAAACTGAGAGTCTTCTTATTCACTATGACAGAATGCATGTGAGACCGTTTATGTGTGTGCATTGGGTCAATTCCTCAGAAGTCATAAGATGCCAATTCACTGTAACCCTGTTTACATGTGCAGAATATATTTGTGCCTTCTAATGCTTTATCTTAATTTCCGAATTGGATTATTAACAAACTTCATGCAACATACACTACAATCAGTAATCCACACTACAGAATCAAATAATTAATCTCTACGGAATCTTCATTTGGTGCCGTTTGTAACAGCCTCAATGTCTGTTCAATTTCTCTGTGATTAGTTGAGATTTAAAGGTACAGAGCACCATACTCTACTTTATGTCCACAGAATGCAGTGTTTTTCTTTATATTATCGCAGTGTATGTTTTTAATGACTAAGCTGTGAACCATGTTGTCATCTATTAACTAGGTCATCCACACGCCACAGCTAAACCATTTGCTGGCCATTTCTGTGTAAATAAATAAAAAAGAACTTTTCTCATTGACTGACTGTGCCTTTTAAAAAAATTTAAACGTGATATTGAAGTTAGCCTGGTCCCAGATCTGTCTGTACTGTCTTGCCAATTCCTATTGTCATTGTTTGGCATGACAGCACAAACAGGTTTCGGACCAGTTTAGTTTAAAGTAGCTCTAGGCTTGAAATTTAAGATTATATATTGACATTTATTTTCTCAAGCTCCAATACTGACGGATTCAGCTAAATGGGGTTACGATAACAGAATAGGGTCGTGTTAAACGTTCTCGGTTAGCTTTAAATAAGTAAGCTTTGTGGAAATGTCTAAGCAGCACATATTGAGCAGCTTGAGGTAGTGGCTGTTTTGCTCTATCCTCCTCCTGCTCTCACATCTGTATAGTAGACAACAGTTGTCGAACACAGAACCATGTATTACAGATGAAAGGAGAACTACACTCAAAAACAATATTTTTGTATTGTATTAATTATTTCACTGTTACTACAATCCCAAAAAGCATCTCCAGAACACATTTAGCTCTGTGCTGAAATCCTGAAGAACATGACTGCTGCGCTGCCATGCACAATTTTGGGATTGTATTAACAGCAGAGTAATGAACAAAATATGAAAATATCCCTCACCCATCTAAAACATTAATATATAAGCAATGACAGTCCTTCATTTGGAACTGTCTATAGGATGCCACAGAGTCACTGTAGTTAGTTTTCCTCACTACATGCATCCATTTGGATCAGTTAGCTTTCACTTGAAACACTATGCTAAAATAAAATACTATTTAGGGTTCCATCAGTCTTTATTTCTGTCACCATCATGTAGGCCACATGATGTGCACGCGCACGCACATGCACGCACACACACGCACACACACACACACACACACACACACACACACACACACACACACACACACACACACACACACACACACACACACACACACACACACACACGCACACGGCTCTGGGAAACTGTAAAAAATAAGAAGAAAGAACCTCAATAGTTCAAACAGAGTTAAACTAACAGGCAAAGAAGACTGAGAATGCCTGCCTGCCTGAATCTAGAATGTTCAAGTTGGCACTGGCATGCATGCCACCAAGCAGCCGTCCCCAATGGGTCTGAGGGAGAAAGCCAAGTGCCAGCACTGAACTGCTGAATTGTAATGAGTCATTATGCGCTGGAGGGGCCTCATTGTCTCCATTTATTCGGACGGAGAGAAAAGAATTAATTGGACAGAAAATGGCAGGGCAGAGGAACTGACCAGTCATTAAGAGGGCTGTGAATGGACGATTAGATGCACATTTATTTTTTAGATTTCCCCCTCGCCTGTTTCATATCGCAACGAATGCCCCGAAAACAACAAAACAACAACCACCGGTGGCAGCCTAACAACCACCACCACAACGTAGAATCAGGAAATGATATCAGCACATAATGTTAATACCAAACAAGAGAGAAAAGATAATACCACAGCAGATGGGGTGTGGGTGGTTCAGGAACGGCTTGTTGTTTTCCTCCTTCAAAGTCTGTCTTTTTTCACAGTTGTTCGCCAAATAGTTTCAGGAGGAACTCTTGAGAAAGGATGGGGGGGGGGGCTGCTTGGGTCCTGTTTCGTTGGAGAACGTCCTTTCGCCATGTTTCTGCCGGGGCCCTCTTGAAAGCTCTACTGTAAATGAGTAACAATGAGGCTGAAGTGGAGGGCTGTTCCCACTGACTGGAAAAGCAGAGCAAGTCAAACCTGAGCAACACTCCCATCTCCAACATTTATGGGTTTAAAAGTATTTCATGCAGTTTTTAATGACACGAGAGAAGAAGACAATGGACTAGCACAGCCATGGGATTCATGTTCCATTTGTATTCAAATGAATGGGAGAAATTCTGAACATGCACACGCACTGACACACAAATGGATAAGACACACACATGCATGCTCACACACACGCACACTCGCACACACACAGGCGTACGCCATCAGAGTATTTGATCAGTGAACACCAGATCTAGACAGGGTTAGTTCTGTCAGGGGGTTCGTGTGTAGAGCAGGGTCCAAGGTCTGATGTACATTCCGCCTGTCACAGCCATTGTTGACTTTTGGAAAGACGTGGTCTGGGACACATCCCATTACGGAACACTGGATGAACCCAGGGACATCACAAAGCCACAACCACCTCACCAGATCCCATCGTTATCAAACTGGGTTCAAAACAGTTTTTGTTTTCTTACAAGTACTTCAGCTTCACTCGTGCAATGGAATCAATGGAATAAATCAAATCAAAGTTTATTGGTCACGTGCACAGGATACAGGTGTATGCTTACTTGTTAACTCTCCTCAACAATGGAGTACAATATCAATATCAATATCAATCAATATTCAAATGCAAAATACAAAGTCCAAAATAACAGGAATAGTTCCAAAAATGCACTCCAGGCAGGCTCAATCAAATACTCAAAGTATTTAAAAGAAAATAAATACCATCGGAACCCAGTTTTGGGTCGCATTGTTAGGACTGGGATAGCTATCAGGGTTATAGTCTCATTGCTGTTAATGAGTCCCTGTTACTCTGCGTGTTTAGGGGAAACGGGGAGCTGCTGGGAACTCTGGGAACCCAGGGAACTCAGGGCCTGATTTGCAATGGAAATGAAGTGGACATAAAGTATCGTTACTGCCTGCCTGCCATTGAACTAACCGGCCTAGCCTGCCTGACCGGGACCCACTTGATGCACAAAATCTTCCTGATAGAAGTGGGACTTGGTTGGGAGAAGAGCCTCTCCTTCCTTCCTGCTTCAAGGCAAACCTTACAGAAATGGCGCTTTAGCGGATTCCACGATGAGGTGTAGTCACCTTCACTATACAGAAAATGTTAAGCTGCTTTGTGTCGTTACTGTCCAAATATCCTGGCTATCTGAATAAAGTAATTGCTCCTGATTGCTGGAGTTGACTGTTTTAGATAGATACAAAATGTCAGACTTTTTATGTGTAGGCCTCCTTTTTTCTCAGGATGTAAACATACATCAATATAGATATAGAAGGTAAATAAATATACTAATGAAATATGAATATACATATAAGCTAATAAAAGCAGCAATGATTATAGCAAGGGGAAAGCTGTGCAATATGATATGACAAAAGCTAAAGCTAATATGCTAGTAGGCTAACGTGGTAGCATAGCATACAGGTGGCAAGCAACAAAAAATGCTTCTATAATAAAGCTGGTAAGTCTGAATTGGCAGTTATATAACAGAAAAATATATGCACAAAAAATGCCAGTGCAAAAATATTGTGATTGAAGTAACGTGCTTTTCAATGGCTAGCTCCAATTAGCAAACATAAATAACTTCAGAATGCAAACAAAAACTTCATTAAATGTTAAACAGATTTATTTAAATTGAGGCTAACAAAAACAACATAAAAGTAAACCCTGTTGTTAAATTACTACAGCAACCTTAGTTCAACACCTAGTGACCTAATCAATAGATTTTTGCCTTTTAGGGAAGCTAAAAGAGGCATAGTTCAGCCATAATCCGAGTCCGAGAGGAAGTTGTGTATTACTGGAAGCTTGAGGACATTATTTTTGCTTTAATCGTTACACTTTTAAAATTTTCAGATTTTTAAGAGGGGGCGTCCGTTAATCATTTAATTACATTTGTATGGCCTAAATAGATGAATGTATTAACTAGTATATCAAGAAATCAATATAGATAGATACTGTAGATGAATGACCATATCAGTGGATTTAGATATAGATTTAACTATATAAATCAATAAATGTCATCTTGATTGAAAAGTTTGGATATGGCCACGTGACCTTGGGTACCAGTCTGAGTAATGTATTCTCTGAACCTACACCACCTCTTGTTTGCAATTGAATCCCCGGCCTCCAAAACAAACACTAAACTGAATTTCATTCATTCTGTCCCCAGAGTTAATGACTTCCTGAATACATCAGCTTTATTTTGTGTCCTTTTCTTGTTCTTCTCGCTAAATAAAATGTTGCGTTTTACCAGCAGTGTCTCCTGAGTGACTGGTGCACTGTGGACCAAGGAAAACAGGCTGCCAGACAGAACTAACATTGACTTAACATTGACTTCCCTAGTTCCACGAGGGCTCGGACAGAGGGGAAGGAGAGAGGGAGTGGGTCTTGGTGCCAGTGCATTCACCCTGCCGCCCCTGAACACGCCACTAAATTGGGTCTGGCTCCTCCAAGGACGACTATATTTGGCCAGATGTTCATCACCAACCGGGGCCCTGGATGGACCTAGCACTATAGATGTAGACCCACATCAGCCAATAGGAAAAGGAAAACAACTCTGTAATAGTCCTACAGTAGTTAAACATTTGACCGCACTTAATTCACACATGTCCGATGAAACACTGGGTGTTAACATCACAATAGAAAATATGCTGTGTGTTTACTGAATATGACAGGTAAAGTATAGTGCCTTTCACAACTAAAGAAAGCAGCAGAAAAGGACATCTGTTTCTGTTTTCACTGTCGAGAGGTTGTCATTTAGTGTCACTGAACAGTTGTCCATGTTTTTTCACCTTCTCCTTTCTTTTGTCTGTTGTTTTTTCTACTTTCTCTTGGCACATTTTGATTGTGAACTGGGTGATTACTTCATTTAGTTTCAACAGCCGCAACACTTGTTGATTTGTCACTATGGTGATGACCCCTCTATCGGAATCCACCAGGTACAGAACCAAGCACTACCAAAGAAGTGCCATAACATTGGCTGCTCAAACAGTGAGCTATGGACGGACACTTCTGTCTTACCCTTAGAACTGAGAGGTATGTATTTTAAAGTTGTAGTTTTTTTTATTGTGTCGATGATTTCCTTGTGCATAGTGTATTTATGTGAATTGTGTCAAATAATTCCGCATTGGCTGTCATTGGTACTTCATCATGTCGAATTTGTGAAATAAACCATTCTATATTGTTTCTCAGTCATTGCTCAGGACTATTGTAAAACTATTGTACACTTAGATAGGCCCATTTTCAGTATTACTTATCCCTCAAATGTATTCTCACTCTCCTCCTCACCCACCTCCTTCATCTTCTCCTCAACCTCCTTCCGTTCTCATCACCACATATCACGGTTGAGTAGAAGGGGAAATTCTATAAGAAAGCTTGTAATTGTTCATTATCTCACATAGATCATCTCACTAGGTCTCTGAAATTTGATTAAATCAACGTTAATGTCGTTAATTCACTCTAACTGTGTTCATTATCCTGTTAAAGAAGAGTAGTAGTCGGAGAGAAAGACTAAGGTCAGCTGAATGGAGTAATACACTCGTATTGTTGACATCCTTGCCATGCGAGTGGAGAAAGGCCTCCTTTGTGAGTGTTATTGAGGCAGCCATTACTTTTTAAAAAGGTTAGATGAATTAATGAGGGGGATCGTCTCTGCTAGGTCTGCTCTGATATAATTAGAGATGGAATATAGAGTGGTTAGCTCCATACGGATGTGGTAAATAAAACATAAAAATGTTAAATAAATACAGTGGGACCTTCTTCTAAACCCTCCCTACTCCCAGACGCCCACATATATTACTTTGTCGTCTCGTCAGAGCGCCGCCGGTGTGTGGGTTCCTGTGCAACCCCAGAATTTGAGAGAGAGAGAGAGAGAGATAGAGAGATAGAGAGAGAGAGAGAGAGAGAGAGAGAGAGAGAGAGAGAGAGAGAGAGAGAGAGAGAGAGAGAGAGAGAGAGAGAGAGAGAGAGAGAGAGAGAGAGAGAGAGAGAGAGAGAGAGAGAGAGATTAAGAGAGAGGCACAGAGAAAAAGAAGCAGATGAAAGAAAGAGTCTCTGAATTGGAGAGAATGGCCAAACTACATACAGTGGGTCAGAAAGAAAAACAACACCCCTTTTTCTCTCCCACTGCCCCCCTTCTGGAGGCTGGCTGGCAGACAGACAGCAGGGCCAGAGGTTTACTGGTTGGCAGAGAGTGGCAGAGAGACAGCAGGGCCAGAGGTTTAAATGAAGCCTAGTGCTGTGCTGGCAGGGCTGTGTGTGAACTGTGAGCTGAGTTCGCTCTGTCACACGGCAACTGTGATAAAACAGTAGAGCCATCACAACCCATTTATTCTGTTGAGAAGCATGCTCCACCACTAGACTGGTCCCAAATCAGTTTCTTCTGCTGTCGTGCCAAC